GGGACCTCCATTATGAACTTTGACAATTGGGTTTACAAAGACACGCAGACTCCTGTTAACCGCAGGCTGACTTTATCCGGTAGAACGTACAGTTCCTCGGATTACGTGATACATACAGCATCAGGCCTGGACTACTGGAGTGGCGCCTCCTTAAAAGAATATTCCAAGCCTCAAGTCATCGAGATGTACTTTGGTAGGGCAAAGCATTCGCCACGGTGCAAGGCTACTGTTCGGATTCTTCGCCACCGTCCCCCATATTTACGCAATCCTCAGTCGAAGTACAATGCCACGGCGCAGGGTAATTCCCGGGTGCGAGTGGGCGCGCTGGACTTTGCAGTCGCCTCTCCCGCCACCGGCCTGTCAAACCTGTCGGTCTGCGGCGGTGACAATGCAACCGTAGTGCAGTGGTTATCTATTACTCATGTATCAGGGTTGCAGTTTCTACTGGATGTTGTTTTTCCTGTAGCAGCTGCTCCACCCCTTGGACGAGTACTCCGTATTGACCTGTGCATGGAAGATGATGCAGAGAATAAGGTGGCAAGCGTTGGAGCACATGACTATACAGCTCTGCACAATGCTGACTCACTAACCAGCATCAGCGTTGAGATACCGTCCGGTGAGTAATGTTGCCTGTCGTGTTTTCCGGAATATGAGCTGCGCTTTAACCTTAAACTACCCAGGTACCTGTTTGCTGAGCTGCTGATCCGTTAGCAAACGAGTACCCGATAGTCGTGTTTGAGGGTCCGGGACAGAGTTATGAGCTGGTTTGTATAGTTAAACAGTTTGATGTACAGTTTGTGTTGTTGCTTGTTCGATCCTGCTGCATATGGAAATTTTGACTGTTTTGCATGTACCGTATTTCCGCAAATAAAAGACCGTCCTCGTATTCAACGCCTTCCTCGAATACAAGGCCGGGGCAGGGGGCGATTGAAAACATACAAGACCGTCTCCGATTAGATGACCGGGCCTAAATGAGTCTTACGGCTGTGTGCTCAAAATTGTGGTAAAAATAGAAGACCGTGCTAAACCTGTGTAGAAGAAAATGGAAGAACGGGGCTAAAACCATGTGGCGAAAAGTAGAAGACGGTGGGGGGGGGGGGGAAGGGGGTGAAACTGGGTTGAAAGAATAAAAGACCATCCTTGAATACAAGACAGTCCTCAATAGGTCTTTTGCCAAATAAGACACACAGTGACTTGGCGGGGCATGACATGCGTACTGAATGCATGACCCGGGCACACGATACATGCAGTGCATTACGAGTCACGCGAGCTCTTGTTCCTGAACTGCAACGATCAATCACCACGTTTGGCGTGTACTCACCCACGCGTCGAGAAAATAGTGACTTTCTTTTTTGTTTTGCTTGTGTATTTCAAAAACTATGTTTCTTCAAGCGATCGCGATCGCGATCGACATTCTAGAATAATATAATGAGGACGGTCGCTGGATTTTCTCTGCCTAGTTCTCGTACAGGGTTTAGTTTTGTTTTCTAGAACATCTCTCCAGATTTTTAGCCATGGGAAAGGCGATCACTGCTGCGTCCGCAGTGCAACAGCGACCGACGTTCAGAAAAAAATACTTTGCTCCATGCGTTCCCTGCTAGCAAGGAATCGAAAACTGGCGAAGCTAAGAGCGTGAGCAGTGACGAGTTGGACACAAGAAAGTCTTGGAGTGCCGCCATTCGTCGAGATGAGCGGAATGGCTACGGTTACCATCATGCCCTACAATATAGTGGTGTGTTCTAACCATTTCACTGATGAATACTATAGTCGCTATCAACAATATCCAAGTGGAGTTCAGCCTGGAGATTTAGCTCGGTTTGAAGACTCTGACATTCAGTACTACACTGGTTTTCCTTTGCTTGCTGCGTTTGATGCATGTATTCAATTTCTTCACCTGGATTATAAGAGAATCATTCCTTTCGCAGTAAACCAGTGGATGCCGATTCCCGGGAAAGGAAACCCTGTGATGAACAGAAGATTAAGTTAATTGGGTTGGAGAGAGAACTCTTTCATGACCATGGTTCGTCTTCGCCACGGCGCAGACATACGAGTGCTGGCTGATCTGTATATGATAATTATGCTGGGACTGTGAGCTGTATAATCACAACAATGGTCAACTTTATAATGTACATGTACCTCCGACTTGGAATGATACCTATCTGGCCGAGTCTTTCCCAAGTGTCAGAACGATTGCTGGATGTTTTCAAAAAGCTGCATCCTACAACATTCATGATCATAGCTGCTACACCCAGATGGTGGTGGGGCGTTTACCTCCAAGTCATTTACGGGATCCACCAGTGACCACGAGCTCACAATCACAAGCCACTACTTAGATCTTCTTCCAGTAGCTGGATATGGGACTTTGATTATGGCAGACCAAGGATTTAACATCCAGGATCTCTTGATGCCACATGGCGTAAAGTTGAACATGTCCCCGTTCAAGTGATCCAAGCAACAGATGGCCTTAAAAGACGTCCAGAAAACGCAACAAATTGCCACGTTACGAATTCATGTTGAGTGTCTGATGGAGCGAATCAGGGAGTTTTCTATCTTTTCAAAGATCATTCCAACTCTTTTCCCTATCATCATTCAGATATGGATTGTTCGCTGCCTGCTCACAGTAGCCCAGGCTCCTTTACTTGCTGAAGCAAATTATGTTTTCCATCCAACGCATATGGCCGATTGGTTTGCAGGCCTGCCTGCGAATCATGAGGTCCCGAGTTCAAGACCCGCGCTGGTAGCAGGGAGCATGTAAAAAAAGACTTTTTACGCTTGTTGAACTACGCCGACACCCACGGTCAACTGGGTACTCACAGCTTGGAGTGAGAATAACAAGGATGCAGTTTACCGGGTTATGGGCCATTACACGCCCGATTGGTTGAGAGATTAGACACCCTTAGCAAACAACGGTAACGCTATTTTTTACGGTACTCGTACCTTGATCACCCAAATAGCGTTCAAGCTGCAGCGTATAAACGTTATGGGGGCTGATTTATCGTTGTGATCAACGGTACGTGTTTTAGCCAAATATTGCATAGTCCGTACGCATTTCAACTTGTATCGCGTATATGGTGACAAAATAGTTGTACCGCGCGAAATCAAAGCTATTCTTGTGGCAACAGCGAACTAAAAATAGCGTGCATCTTGCTAAAGGTCGAACCCAAATCACGGTATTTTCCCCCTTACGATAATACCGTTACAACATAACGTTTTTTGCTAAGGGTGTCTACTAACCTCCTCTCCCCTGACTCACTGCGGGTGAGGTCTGCATTCGCCACTAAGGTGCACAGGCATAGTGGTGGCCTGCGGATGCGAAGGCTAGTTTGTGTGTTTCTGAACATTCAAGCGATGCCGACGCGGATCCCGCGAATATTATTATGCCAACTGTTGCTAGCATTGCATGGCGAATTGCATGGCGAATTGATCTTCAGCAACACGAATTTTGTCATACCTGAACAATCATGCACAATACGGAGCAGCTAATGACTTAGTGGGTATAAATGTGGATAGTATGATATAATTTAGATTGCAATTATTTGCAAAAGTGCAATGAATAATAATACCAAATAAGTAAACAGCTTCCTCTGTGGCAAAAATGCGATATTACTCATAAAAGGACACACTTCAGGTTCATTACAAACATCTTGTATTTCACCTGACGAGAAGGCTTGAAAGTATACTTGTGAAGACAAAAAACTTTAAAGATGTTTGTAATGAGCCAGAAGTGTGTCCTTTTTATGAGTATTAATAATAATACCTGTAGAAAGGAAAAAGACATTATGGATACGAGTTAAGAGTAACTCTCCATCACTGTAACATGATACTTTATACAGTCAGAAAGTGCAATAACTAGGCACAAAACTGACAGAGTACTGAGACATTCGACATCCTGACACCTAGCTTCAACACATCTCCGTAGCGCTAACCGACAGCCTTCCAACTTGGAAGGTTCAAGGTTATGGAAAGACCAAAGAGGGGAAGGCAAGCGCAACGGAAACAATCAAAAGCTACAGTCCCAACGGAACAAAGAATGTCGATTGTTACTGGACGATGACGAGACCAGTAGGATATTTGACAAAGCGGTCTAACTACAATTCGAAGCAGCAAAGCAGCACACCACCCAACTTGGGTGGGTCATAAATATCAAAGATGAGTAAAGAAATGGGAAGCTTTGCGAAAACGAATTGTACAAGCCGAAAGCCAAACTCCTACAGTACTCCTCATGCTTGACATTGTGATGGACTAGTTGACTACAAAACAAGTTGTTTCACACGACTAGTCCATCACAATGTCATGCATGAGGAGTACTGTAGGAGTTTGGCTTTCGGCTTGTACAATTCGTTTTCGCAAAGCTTCCCATTTCTTTACTCATCTTTGATATTTGTGACCCACCTATATCCTTGTATATCCTTTTCAATTTTTTTGCAACATTGTTGTGTGGCTGTTATGAGATTTTTTTTAATGATATAAACATCAGCGGGGAGTTTGCAGACTACAGAAATTGCATGATTTTAGCGTATAGCTCCATCTGCTGATCGTCCTACTGTGGATGGCAAAGCTACACACTCTTCTTAGTATTCATAAGTTGAGGGAATGGAAAAAATGGGACAGTCTGAAGAAAAAAATGACTCTTACCACCAGGAATCGAATAAGGGACCTTTGCTTGAGGCCAGCAATGATCTAACCACTGAAATTTGGGATGGCTGTCACCCCAGCCGAGACCGTTCAACGTGTTCCTCAGACGTCGAAACTCACACTTCCTGTGACACTGAACGGGCTGTTGGGATGCAGCCCTCACTGTATCCACACACTACCTGTGACACTGCTTACTCTCTCTCTCTCTCTCTCTCTCTCTCTCTCTCTCTCTCTCCCTCCCTCCATCCCTCTCTCTCTCTCTTTCTGTGTCTCTATCTCTCTCACTCTCTCTCTCCTTTTCACGGTCGCTCTCTATCTCTTTGTCGCACTCCCTCTCTCTCCCTCGTTGCAGATTTCATCTGTGAAACCGGTTCTCATCAATGCTCGTCAAACAGCCGGTGTTTGGTACAAAGTCAGGGCCTCACCTGCCAGTGTGCCCATGGCTTCTCTGGGCCAACATGCACAAGTGAGTGACAATCCATCCATGATGCATGCATGTTGCCATGACAATCCATCCATGATGCATGCCTGTTGCCATGACAACGTCTAATGGCAAGCTGCTCTCCGCATCATAACAGGATTTAATAACAAGATTCCGGCCTGTCTATCAATAAAGAAGCAATTCCTCCTCCACCCCATGCGCTCTCTGGCTGAGCTCATGACCCAGCAGCTTGACTACAGGTTGTACACTCCCACAGAGAAATATGGTTTTCCTCCTTGCAGCGGTGCTTCGACCACTAACTTCTCGTCAGGGAAGAATAATGCTGAGAAGACGAATGCTGAGAATACAGAATTAATTGATTGCACACATCGCTAGCGCTATTGTTCTTATCCAATAACTATTGTTGAGTTCGAAACAGGACGGCTGACGACACATTATCCAGACATTACAACGGGAACAGGTAGGTTGGGGGAACGACATTTATTATAGACGACGAGACAAGAGACCAAGACGAACGAAACGACTACATTGAAGAGTGAGAAAAGAGATCAAGTCTGAACGGCAAGATAAAGGGCCTGGGTAGCTATGGCAAATATGGGCACGCAAGTAGCTACCCAGGCCAACGGAACAAAAGGAGACAAAAGGTGCGTACGCAAGTGCATGCAGGCCAGCTAGAAAAGGTACGGGAGGAGGTACCTAACACTATTGTTGCTGTTTTTGAAACGGTCATTGTCTCTATTCTGAACGTCTAAATCCTTAATTTGTTTCCCATTTCCCTGTAGTCACGACACTCCACTCATGATTGTGACAAGAGAACGTTTTGGACATACATGTAATACTACTTTGGTTGCAACGTTTGTGATATGAGTGCGCATTTGATATTATTCATCGCCATATTAATTGATTGCCTTGCCCACTACTGGTGTGTTTCGTCCTTTTGCTAGGTTGGCATGGTAACATTGGCCAGTGCCAGGGTAACGAGTACATTGTGGTGTTGCCGGATTACTCAGTGTATGCCGAGAAGAGAACGGCGGAACAGGCAACAGCGGCGTGCTCCGCTTACGGACTCTACTTGCCACCGAGCAAAAGCGTGTGTCTCCTCTCCGCACTTGCTGCCTTCGCTCAAAACGACAGTCATGAAAGTTTCTTCATGAACAATGCCAGGACTCTGGTTTATTACCATGGCTACCAAACCAGCCCGACTGGTCCTCAAGACAAAGGACGGTTTGTCTGTTCAGGTAAGTGGCAGTGAACCAATAGAGAGGTTCCGGGGTACGATTTTCCGCGCCAAAATCCGTATCGGCACTACAGACTTTTTCGAGGCGTGCTCCATACGATTTTTTCGGCACAGAGAATCCGTGTGGACTGGCTTTCATACGAACCATGTTTCGTATGGAGATTTTGCGTCATCGAGTGCAGAAAAAATGTTCGCGTACAAATTTGGTACGAGAAGATCGATTTTCCGCGGGAAGTTTTGATTTCGGTAAAAAATTTCAAAATAAAAAGGCATCGCACTAGGAATAGGACGTGTTTGCGATCGTAACCTAGGCAATGACAGCAAAGACATGTTCCGTACTCTGGAACATTTCACTGTTCGAAAACAAAGTATAAAAAACCGAGCGCCTCTACGGATTTTGGCACGAAAAATCGCACTTGCTACCCGCAGTAGTAATTGTGTGTGTGTGTGTGTGTGCGTGCGTGCGTGCGTGCGTGCGTGCGTGTGGTGTGTTTTGTGCTGGAGGTGAGTGGAAGGAGATTTTTGAGCTCCGGTTTTTTAGAAGTTTTCTTCCACGGGCTGGTCTCCAGCTCCGGCTGGGGCCAGCCCAGAAGAGTTATAGACTCACAGTAAGTAGAGTAGCTGTGCTGAGCGAGGCAGCCGTCATCTTGCTGCCGCGGACGAGGACAATTCAGCGTCGACAACATGGTCACCTCGGATATGACCACTCGCGCTGACCCTCGTCCGCCTGAGCGCGGAGGAGTTGCAAACCCCCGCTCAGAGCTTAGCTCGCAGCATGCACCAGCCGCTCGGAGGTTCGTGCTGTCTCTGGGAACCTGGAATGTGAGGACTCTTGTTGAGTCCGACGGCGACGTGAATACGGCTTCAAAATTTCAAAAAAAATCAAAACATTTGTTGCGGGAGGAGAAGAAAATTGACCTGGTTTGTCGGCAGCTTGGACGTTGCGGAGTGGATATCGCAGGTCTGCAGGAGACCCTTTGGTTCGGCACGGCTCAGTACAGCGTTGGCGACTCTCTCGTGTTGGCGAGTGGACGCCCTACTCCGACTGCGGATGACTCTGGACGTCGTGGTGAAGGTGTGGCGATATTGCTGCGCGGAAAGTGCAAAGACGCCTTTGTCAGCGGCGGTTCGGAATGGAAAGGACACAGCTCGCGACTTGTCTCCGCGAAGGTAAAGTTCGAATGTGGTCGTAATCGTTCAGTATCTTGCATTCATATCGCTGTTGCGTATGCACCAACATTCAGTAGATCACGTGAGGAGAAAGCTGCGTTCTATGAAAGTTTGCAGTCCTTCCTTGATAGTGTACCCAGGAGTGACCAGTATGTCAGACTCGGCGATTTCAATGCTCGTGTTGGTGTTGGTACTGCTGGAGACGAGTGGAGCCGCGTAAGGGGTACACATGGACATGGCGTCATGAATTCTGCTGGAGAGAATTTACTAAACTTCCTGGCCAGAAACAGTGCGCTCATCTGCAACACCTGGTTCAAGAAGAAGGACATCCACAAGCACACGTGGCACCATCCCAGGTATGGGCAGCCTCATTGTATCGACTACTGCATTATTCCAGAGTCATGTCAGCGTCAATGTCTGGATTGTCAAGTTCTCCGCTCTGCGGAGTGTGACACCGACCATAAGTTCCTTGCCATGAGATACCGCTTGGCGGCGGTGCCCAGTTTCCGCAGGCAAAGTAAACCAGCCAACAAACCCATCGCTTCCGCAGTCCTAACGGCTCCCTCCAATGATGAAGTGCGAGCAAAATATTCCACTAGTCTTGATGCTGCCTTGGTTCAGAACTGGCCAGATGAGCTATCTGTGGACGGATGCTGGGCTGCGTTGAAAACTACGGTGGCGGACGTCGCTCAGAAATGCCTTGGCAGAGAGCGGCGCAAACAACCAGACTGGTTCCAGGACAATCGACCGAAGATTGAGGCTGCCCTCCGTGAGCGAGACGATTGCTACCGAGCCTGGATGTCGACCAACAGGGCAAGTGATCAGAAGCTGTATAAAAAGGCCCGAAGTTCAGCTCGCCGTATCGTTCGTCAAGCAAAGCAGGACTGGCTGAGAAAGCAGGCTCGGGACTGCGAACGCTTTAGTCTAACATCTAAGGGAGGCTGGGAGTGCGTCAAGAGGATCCAGACTGCACTTGATGGATTGCAGCCCCGCAAGACAGCTGCTATCAAGAATGCGCAGGGTGTTGTGTGCGAGACACCAGAGGCAACAGGTACGCGATGGCGGGAGCATTTTGACGGTGTCCTAAACGTGATCAGTGATTTTGTCCCAGATGCCATTGCTTCCATTGGGCAGCTACCGATTTGGCTTGACCTTGAGAACGCCCCAGCCTGCAGCGAGATACACCGTGCTATGCGAGCACTTCAAAATGGCAAAGCATGTGGCCGATCAGAGATAACAGCGGAGATGCTCAAGTGCGGCTCTGAACAGGTGCCTAGGTTGGAGATATTGTTGGCTGAAGTTTGGCGGACGGAAAGGGTTCCTCAGGATTGGGCAGGCGCCATCTTAATCCCAATTCCCAAGAAAGGTGATCTTAGTGACTGTGGTAACTGGCGAGGCATCGCGCTTCTAGACGTGGTCGGCAAGCTGGTGGCAAGAATAATAGCGGATCGCCTGCAGCTGGTTGGAGAGGAATACCTGCCTGACTCCCAATGTGGTTTTCGCCGTGGTAGGGGATGCTCAGACATGGTGTTCTCAGTACGCCAGGTTGCCGAGAAATTGCATGAGCATTCATCAAAGGGCTTTGCGGTGTTAATCGACTTGCGCAAAGAATCCGATTCAGTACCTAGAGCAGCCATGTGGAGGGTTCTCTCCAGGCTCGGCGTGCCGGATAAGCTGATCTCCATCATTCGGTCGTTCCATGAAGGCATGTCTGCATCCATTCGTCTCGGCGCAGATCTGCTCGACCCTTTCCCGGCGGGAAATGGCCTACGTCAGGGATGCACTATGGCCCCGATCCTGTTCAACTTATTCATGGGTGCGGTTGTGGAAAAGTGGCATGCTACCATCGCCAATGACGAGGATATCGGTATCCAGGTGTCGCAGTTTCGCAGAGACTGCTTGTTCAATACGCGTCTCAGAGAGTGTCGCAGGGTGACTATCACGGAGTGTCAGTTTGCGGACGATTCATCACTGTTCGCCAAAACCTATGGCGGTGCTGAAAGGGCCTTGGCCACGTTTCGACAGGTTGCAGCATCTTTTGGCCTGTCAGTCAATCTGGGCAAAACTAAGTTCATGCCTATGGGCGTTGGTGTGGTGGCGTCGGATATGTTGCCTTTGGGTGGAACCGTCGAATGCGTGGACAGCTTTCGCTATCTTGGCTGCCAGATCACTCCTCATGCTAGGAGTAGCTTTGATGTCTCTCGCAGGATCGCCGCAGCTTCGGGTGCATTTGGCGCATTGAAGAAAGCTGTGTTTGCGAACTCGGAGTTTCCTATCGGTCTCAAGCGTGTTGTGTACGGAGTCACTGTGTTGGCAGTACTCCTCTATGGTGCTGAGAACTGGACACCGAGGCAACGGGATCTCCAGCGTCTGGAGTCGTTTCACCTGCGATCTATACGCATGGTCCTGGGCATCAGTAGGGCGCGCCAGATGGACGAGCACGTGACAACCCTTCAGGTACGGCAGTGGTGGGGTGACATGGAGCAGGTCTCTGACAAGGTCCGGCGCCGTCGTCTCCAATGGCTGGGCCACCTGGCTCGCATGGATGACCGTATTCCCCGCCGATTGCTCTTTGGTGCCTTGCCGTCTAAACGACCTCCACATGGCCCCCGGAAGAGGTGGAAAGACCCAATCAAACATGACCTGACGGCGGTGTCCATTGGCATGAATGAGTGGCTTGAAACAGCAGATGATAGGTCTGAGTGGAGAACCAGGTGTCAGGATGGAGTCTACAGTGTGGTATGCTCTCGTGTACAAGTACAACCTGCCGTGAAACCACTCCTGTGTATGGTCTGCACACGCCGTTTCAGCCGTCCTCAAGACATCGCTAGACATAGTTGCACATCCAGTCGCTCCGCAAAGGCAAAAAACAAACAGTGAAACAGCCGTTCACGTCCCGCCGGACTCGCAGGGCCTCATGACGCGTCCCGGAGACAGCACTCCTCCAAGTCGCCCCGTTTGGGGACACATAGCCAATCGTGGCAGTGGGCGAAGGAAGGAAGGAAGGAAGGAAGGTGTGTGTGTGTGTGTGTGTGTGTGTGTGTGTGTGTGTGTGTGTGTGTGTGTGTGTGTGTGTGTGTGTGTGTGTGTGCGGGTGTGTGTGTGCGTGCATGCATGCGTGTCACAACTCGCATCCTATTTTTCAAATCGTGTATGAACGAGTGGTAAATTTTCGTGTTAGATGAAATTTGGGTCAGTAAATGCCAGCTCACTCTTCTACTGCCTTTTCGATTGTCACTTATTTTTTTGGAGAAGGTGAAGGATTGTCTAGGACCTTCCACTGAGCGATAAATCAGAAGATAAAGTGCCAAGAAAGAAACAAAAGAGACACATTGTTCAAGGCGACATCCTCTCAGGTTCACGAAGGCAAAAATCGATGAGTACGAAGACTCGCGTATAAGTCCAGGGCTTGTAATCTTCACCGCTTACATGACATTATAACCCCTGGGAGTTGGATAAGCTCGGTGATCAAGGGTAAGGCTAGTTTAGCTTGGCGTGAGCTGAATAAGCCCACCTCACCATGTACCCGCGCTCTCTAAAATGACTGTGTGACAGATAAAGGCCAGCTAGTCGCAAGCCTAGGGTTGAATACGCCCGGGCATATTTTTCTCATGAAAACGGCTTCTCACTCCCAAACCAGACTAGCTATACGCATGCACCACTCTCACGTGACTAGCACTCTCGTACAGACGGAAATAGATTCTTGCACTGTCTGACAACGCATATCTTACTCTTGCATGCACCACATACCATACATGTCACCTACATCACCACATACTCACACATACACTTGACCATAATAATTATTATAACATCAGAAAAGGCAAGAACCAAATACGACAATTTGCGTAAATATAAATCGAATCAAACTTACCAACATTTCAACCGATGCATGCCAGGGTATGTAGTGTGGTTTGTGTACAAAAAGCGGGAAAGAAAGAAATGGGATTCTTTGGCAAGAAAAAAGTCACTTTGCAGCTCTATGGTGCAGACCAGGCTAGAATCAGTGGTGATCAATTCATCAGCCTTGAACGCTGTCGAATGATGTAATGACAAAAACAAGTTGCTATGACTAGGATCAAGAGTACATGCAAACCAGAGTGTGCAGCTCGGATGGGTTGCTGTCACGGCGGAATTCCGTGATTACATCATTTTATTGATGTAGTGCGTACAAGCAGGATTCAAGCAGGTCTCTTTCTGCACAACTGCAGCTCAGTTGTACGCACTACGCCATTTCCCGCCTCAGATCTGCGCCAAATATGATGTAATCACGGAATTCCGCCATGACAGACACCCATAGCAGAAAAGGCCCCAAGCTGTACACTCTTGGTTCCATGTAGTCTTGCTAGGATCGCTTGTTGGCTATCATCAATTCAGGAATGCACCTTTTGCCATAGAATTTTGCATCACGTCAAAAATAACATGCCACCTCTATTGATTTCGGAGCAGCACTCTCAAAACTTAATGGTTCCTCTGATCTTCTTTTCAATTATCCACGTGTTTACTGTCTGCTTGTGTAGTGAGTCACTTTTGCACTCTTTTCCTGCCAATCCTCTTTTCCTGCACACAGCTGACGTCTCCAGAAAGAAAATCGTCTCTAACATCTGCAATGATGTAATGTACTACGTTCCGAGAATAGCCTCTTCGACTTTGCCATCTGCCATGCAATGGACTACTGCTAAGTTAGCTTGCCAAGGGAGTCTAGTTAAGACTTCCACTTTATCACCGTGTGGTGTTTTGTTTGCGAAAAAAGTAAATACTTTGTTTGGAGTGGATACATTTAAGATCTGGTCATCTGAACAGGATGTGTCCATCAATCTCAGAGCTCCTGCAGGAGAGAACTCGACAACACGAGAATCCTCTGCAGCTACTTTCCTGCCACTGTGTCAAGGTGAGATATGAGGTTGTGTGTGTGTGTGTGTGTGTGTGTGTGTGTGTGTGTGTGTGTGCGTGTGTGCGTGCGTGCGTATGTGCACGTGTGTGCATGTGTGTGCGTGTGCATGTGTGCTTGCATGTGTGTGTGTGTGTGTGTGTGTGTGTGTGTGTGTGTGTGTGTGTGTGTGTGTGTGTGTGTGTGTGTGTGTGTGTGTGTGTGTGTGTGTGTGTGTGTGTGTGTGTGTGTGTGTGTGTGTGTGTGTGTGTAAGAAGTGGTTGCGGGACAATGTTGTGTCCGACATGAAAGACCGCCAACTAGTGGACTGATACGGCCTAGCCCAGGATCTCAGAGAATGGAGAACAGCATGCAGCTCCAGTTCTCCAACCGAGCTTGTCACCTTAGACTTCGTTTGCAGCTGTGGAACGAGGTATTGCTGCCGCCAGGACTTGACTTGCCACACTGTTGGGGTAGGTAGCTTTGACACTAACCAGACAGACGGCTAAGCCAAGCCAGTGCGAGGGAGTGTAGTTCTTAATCTCCAGGCAGCTAGCTGTGTAGGCCTTTGTGTGCCAGTGGAGTTTCACACCTTTCTCACCTCTCTCTGCTCGCTCTTTCTACTCAACTCTGCTAGTTCTTAGTTTTTCTTTCTCTTTCCGTTTTTCAACTTGAACGGTATGCTTTGCATCGTCTACGCTCCGGTGTTCCTTGTGTGAGTATAGTCTGGGTTTGGTTGGCATGTCGAGCTTAGTTGGTTGTGCTACAAAACAACCACATGTCTCCTCAGTGGAGCATAGAGTCATTAGGCCAAGAACAGGACTCGATTGTTCTAACATTCCAACTTGTCGTTTTCTCTTGTCTTTTCTGGTGCATTGCAGAAGCTTGGTGTGGACAACCCACAATACTAAATGGGCAGGCAATGGTAACTTCTCGGATAGCCCGGTTCAAGTGCAACAGTGGCTTTAGGTTGGCTGGAATGCCATTTTCGGTGTGTGCCAATGGGACATGGATGTTCAAGAGAGCATGCATACGTGAGTGTGTTGCGCTAGGTTATGTTACAGTAAAACCTGGTTTAAGCGACCTCTCGGTTTAGCGACTATCTGCTCTTAACGACCGTTTTTTTTTTCATGCACGGACAGTTCTACACAGATACTGTGGGACCTGGTTCTAAAGACTACTGGTCTCTAATCCTTTGCGGTGCATCAGTCACTAACAACCGCTTTTCCTTGCACCGTGGGGTGGTCGCTTCAACAAGGTTTTACTGGATTTTTATTCCAGTAGCTATGCAGAAGACGTTACTTCAGTAACGTCTGGCGCTAGCCAGGGTCCACACAGCTTTAATTTGGTATTTGCTTGCTTGTTTGTTTGTTTGTTTGTGTGTTTGTGTCACGCCTGGAAATCCCAAGCTCTCCCGTATTTGTCCCGTATCTGTCCCGTATCTGTGACTACAAATGCTCTACAGGATTGTACATAACAGCTGGCCACAATATTTGCTGGCTCCAGTATCTGTCCCGTACCGTCCCGTACAAATAGCTGGCCACAATTGTCATCGTATTATGTATACGACTCCCTGATGTAGAGGGAAATTTGAAAAGAATAGGGAGACGAGGAGGAAATGAAATTAGAATGGACGGTAGTTGCCGAATAGGTGATAGGATGCGTCAGCAAAAACATACTTTAGAAAAGAGATCCCGTCGTCTCCAAAACAAGCGTGAACGGGCGATTCAGCGCCGGTCACAGGAAACGTCGGAAGAGAGATCCCGTCGACTCCGGAACGCCCGTGATCGGCAGAGCCAGCGCCAGTCCAAGGAAATGTCAGGACAGACATCTCGTCGACTCCAAAATAAGCGTGAACGGGCGATTCAGCGCCGGTCACAGGAAACGTCGGAAGAGAGATCCCGTCGACTCCAGAACGCCCGTGATCGGCAGAGTCAGCGCCGGTCCAAGGAAATGTCAGGACAGACAACCCGTCGAGTCCAGAACGCCCGTGATCGGCAGAGTCAGCGCTGGTCCCAGGAAACACGAGGACAGACATCCCGTCGACTCCAGAACGCCCGTGATCAGCAGAGTCAGCGCCTGTCACAGGAAACGCCAGGACAGACATCCCGTCGACTCCAGAACGCCCGTGATCGGCAGAGTCAGCGCCTGTCACAGCAAACGTCGGACGACACAAATGCAGGAAATGAGCATAGGAGGCTTAAAATCGTGCTGATTCGCCTCGTGCTGCTGCAGCTGCGCACATGGAAACTCCAACCGGCCAAAGTTTAATGGCAGCAAAAAGTTTCGTTTCGAGATCGGCCAAAGTTTATCATCGGCCGAAATTTGTTCATTTTCAGTATACGGAGATAAAAAGAAGGAGCAAACCAAAAGTGGATGAAATTAGAGAAAAATAACAATCCGCAATAAATTCTCATATTCAAACTGATTGAAACGTTTTTGCAATACAATGAGATGGCCAATCAACGGAAAATTTCCATCAGTTCTAGTAACATGTACAATGAGCTAGGCAAGAACCATAAAAGCATAGCGTAGGGCCCTGAGCTTCCAAGCTCTCTCGTTTTACTTCACCATAGGTACAGGCAATGCTGCAGCCTTCTTGCTGTGGATCAGTATGATCATAATATCAGCTTAGGATCACTACAGGAAGTGGTTTCAGAGCTGACAGCTCTTCCCCATTCACTCTTCAACCATATCAAACTCTTTTACTAATCAGATATTAAAACAGAGAGGTTCCAGGCTGTCCAAGAGAGTGTTCAATGCCGAAAGGTAGAGCTGGTTCAAACAATAAGAGGACAGAAAAGTGCTTTAACTCTGAGTTTCACGCACTAAGCGATCATCAGAAAACAGTACTGCTTTCCGATGATCGCTCAGTGCGTGAAACTCAGAGTTGAAACACTTCCTCTGTCCTTTTATTGTTTGTTCCAATCAGCTATTACAATGTTTGGGCACACTCACGTATGCAGCATACCAGCAGGGGTGTAGCAGCCGGTCCGGCCGGTCCGGCTTTGGCCGGACCACTTTTTCGCCCATAAGTGCCCCGAATGCAGGCTTTTGCACCCTAAATTCAAATATGTCCCGGGGACACCCCCAGACCCCCTCCAACCACACCACCTCCAACGGCGGTGCTACGCGCCTGACCAGACCCTATAGTGCTCACTCATAGAAAAATCTTTGCACCGCGAACGAACGGGCACGTGTTTTTATATTGCATAACCAATTCGGGATATCACTTCGAATAACAGTTACACACCTGATGACCTACAAAACATTGTAGGTAAAACTAAGCCTAGCGAGAGTGCCTGGGCTTTCAAGCACTCTCACTATTATAAAAACTGACAAGGTTCAGGGAGTTGAAATCGGAAACGTAAGAGGAAAAGTGTGACTACAAAAGTGTGACTGCAACCATACTTGCATGTGTACTTTACCAAGAGCGGCTTCTATTCAAATCGTGCTTCTGTGTAACAGAGCTTGGAAAAATCGGCTTCTATTCGAGTCATGCAAACCCAGGCACCCTGATGACACTAACGGCCACTGCTGCTCTACCACCAAGCCATGTTTGAGTCACTAGCCCAGCAGTCACCAGTCACCATTTCCACAGAGACTGATCATAACAATGTTTTTTTAATAATACATAGTGAGCATGATGATGCAATGGCCCACATACGCAACAAGGCCAGGAGTCCTAGCATCTAGGGAGACTCCACGAGGCTACAGTTCTCGGTATGATGTGTGTTTCAACCCTGGATAGTTCCACATGATCCGTGCTCTACGCAGCTTGCAAACGTGATCATGGCCATCATGACCTGCTGACTACTAACCCAGCCCAGTAGTAGTAGCTGTGGTAGTAGTATTTATTATTTTACTTGGGTATACCCAACAGGCCTATGGCCTTCTTACAGGGTGCCCAAGGAGAAATTGTGACCAGCTAGCACGAAAAGCAGGCAGAGTACGCTGGGATCGAATGTTGCTTCACCATTTGACAGGAGTCATAAATCAGGGCTGCTCTGAAGGTAACTGGAAAAGGCTGTGTGCGAGCGAAACCTTCATTGTTTGGCTTTAAGGTTGCCAGTGTGGCGGTTGTCCTTTTATGCTAGGACTCCCTGCATGCAACTGCAGAATATAATTATGCACAACGAAATCAGGTTCACAAGGGTTCAAAATTCCCTCCATGTTTATGAACATCCATAAGGATTACTGTTAACTGATTCTAAGACAAGCCAAGTCATCTTTTCTGTTTACTTACATCCAGTATCTGCATTTGTTTGTTTTTTTTTGCGTCCAGCTTTGAAACAAGGCGAACTACCAGTTCCCAAGATTTCCCGTGAGTTCAATTTTCCTGTGTTCACTTCTAATCATGTGATACGTGATGCGTTCTAAGACTTCTTGAAGTTGTTTTAGAATATCATTATCAGTGTCAGCCACCTTATGCACACTCGGCCCTAGTATATTGTTACATACGTGCATAGTGTAATGGTGTGCTGCAAACTGCCCAAGAGAGCCGGGCAAAAGAAAAAAAAAAGGTCCTGCAAGTCCTTACAATTAGGTGTATTCTCTATTTGTTTGTTTTTTGTTTTCTACAAAGAACACAAACCCGGCTCGAGACAAAAGACCGAACAAGAAAGATAATGTACAGTTAAGCCTGGTGCAAGTGACCTCTGGTTTTAGCGACCATGTGCTTTCAACGACCGTTTTTCAATGCATGGCCAGTTCTACACAGAAACTGCACCTGATACAGCGGCCACCTGTTTTGCTCGACCAGTGACCGAATTTTAGTGTACCAAGTGCCATATTGCACCTGCACACAGCGACCAAACCTAACAAAACGTGCCATCTTGGCTGTCAGGGTTGACTGGAACACGGTTGAAGCGGGCTCTGACGCAAGTGCATGCAGTGGACAGAAGTGACAAGTGACAATGCAGGACGCGCTGCATGCACTGGAATGAGGTGTGCTTTGCATGCACGAAAGTAGTCTATGCTCTACACCTGTCAATATGAGTACATGGAAGTACAATCATGCACATGCATGTACACAATCCGATATGCCACTAAATGCGGGCACGGATGTATGGGATCTGGTTCTAAACGACCGCTTTTGCTTGCACCGTGGGGTGGTCGCTTAAACCAGGCTTTACTGTACCTCTTACTGTGTCAGTGAGTTTAGAGGGGGGGGGGGGGGGAGGCAGTTGCCAGGTTGTGGAAGACAGGGTAATTCTGAAGGTTTACCTCTCTTGGACAGGGGAAATACAACTTTTCTCTAGTGTTTCTTCATTCAAAATTCTTTTAAAAATGCTGTTCCATTTCATGACTACGTTATGGCAATTTGTCTGTTCTTTGTTCACAGTTCACCTATATCCGTCAGCTCTCCGTAAGTACATCATGGCGTCACGTTTTCAATTCTATCAAATTTCCCGGAATTAGCCCTAAGAGAGGTACCTACAGCTCTGCATTTGAGACCCTACAGTCCATTTCAAAACTATAGACGCGTACCTAGGCAAAAATCGTTATGCCAGCATCTATACCACATAAAATCTGTGATCACTTTGTGCATAATTTTTTTCCAAATTGGGCGTCTGTTATATCAATCATTTAGAAACTATATGAGAGTAATTGTGGAGCGGTCCTGAGCAATATTCCGAAAACTATTCTCAAAACGTTCCAGCCAAATTTGAAATATTTCAAAAACCCGACGCGTCTATAGTTTTGAAATGGACTGTAGGTCGGCAGAGCTCCCTAAACCTCACCACCTCTGCCACGATTCAGGTTGCGCTTGCTTCCCTTAGCTACATCTCATGTTTGGCATTTAAGTGGTCTTTGTAAAAATAAATAAATAAATATGATTAAGAAAGGAAAAGGACAAAATGTTATGAGTTATGACAAACTGTCCACCAATGTAACCAGATCTTATACAGTCAGCAAGTGTGACAAAATGGCACAAAACTGACAAGGAGTACTGAGACATTTTGCGACCTGACACCTAGCTCCAACACTGACTGTATAATATCTGGTTACGTTGGTGGACAGTTTGTCATAACTTGTAACATTTTGTCCTTTTCCTTTCTTCATCATAACTTTATTGGCTCACCATCCGAGTTCAAACGAGAGAGCTTGGAAGCTCAGGGCCCTACGCTATGCTTTTTTGCTTTGATGACCTAGACAAAACAAAGCATAGGGATGTTATAAATTCTTAAAAAATTCTTTTTTTAAAGACATAACCTGGGATTCGAGCCCACGCTATCGCGCGCCCTCCATGCATCCCCCGATACACTTCGCATACATACTAATTCTTCCAAGTTGCTTCACGTTATGATCTTGCATTTGAAAGCCCTATTTGAATATGCATTGTGGCCAGCCGTCTTTGATGGTACGGTACGGGATAGGTACGGGACAGGTACGATCGAGGGTAATACAACACCGTCTACCGCCTTGATGACGGCAAAAAAAGCATAGGGATGTTATACATTTTTCAATTCTCCTATTTTTTTCAGCCATATCCTGGGATTCGAACCCGCACTATCGCCCTACATGCATTCCCCCATACACTTCGCATTCATACCCATTCTTCCAAGTTGCTTCACGTTATGATCTTGCGTTTGAAAGCCCTATTTGAATATTGCGGCCAGCTGTATTTGGCCAGCTGTGTTTGATGGTACGGTACGGTACGGGACAGATACGGGATAGCGCCAGGCGTGACACAAACAAACAAACAAACACGCAAATATCAAATTAAAGCTGTGTGGACCCTGGCTAGTGCCAGACGTTACTGAAGTAACGTCTTCTGTATAGCTACGGGAATAAATAAACGAAAGAGCTTGGAACCTCAGGGCCCTGCGCTATGCTTTGTTGCCTAGCTCCTCGTGCGTGTTGTTAGAACTGATGGAATTGCTTTTTCCTTTGATTAGCTACATCATTGTATTGCAAAAACGTTTCAATGAGATACTGAAGTAACGTCTTCTGCATAGCTATGGGACCGGCGCTGACTCTGCCGATCACGGGCGTTCTGGAGTCGACGGGATGTCTGTCCTGACGTTTCCTGGGACCGGCGCTGACTCTGCCGATCACGGGCGTTTATCTTCTTCTTATTATTATACTGACGGCAACTAACATCCATTTTGATTGCATTTACTCGTCTCCCTACTTTGTATTTCTTTCCAGAAAATCTCCCCATACAGCAGGGAGTCGTTTACATAAAATGACTCCCTGCTATACATATACATGACTGTATAAACGTTATAATTATTATGCTATCCGCCTACATGCGATTCCTGGGCTGGTCGACAGGCGGCCCAGCCAGCCTGCTAGTGGGATCTCGGCCTCGCACACAAATCCACACAAAATGTTACTGAACTGAATGCATTCCCCCGATACACTTCGCATATATACTCATTCTCTTGATGGTACCGTACTCTTGATGGTACGGGACAGGTACGGGATAGCGCCAGGCATGTCGATGGCACAAACAAACAAAAATATTGTGGCCAGCTGTCTTTGCTGGTACGGTACAGTACGGGACAGATACGGGATAGCGCCAGGCGCGACACAAACAAACAAACAAACAAACAAACACCAAATTAAAGCTGTGTGGACCCTGGCCAGCGCCAGACGTTACTGAAGTAACGTCTTCTGCATAGCTACGGGAATAATTCTGCAATGTGGTACAGTACATCCATGGTTTACATGGTTTCCTTGGTTTCCATGGTTTAGGTCCTAGTAGCATACAGGCAATCTCTGGTCGCATTAGTCAGTCAGCTTTTATACACGCAATGTTACATACATGCAGTCATCTCTCCTGCTCTTCATGCCCTCTCAGTGTGCATGGTGCTATCCTCGGTAGCCATTACTCAAGTCAAAAATTCCAAACAACAAAGGGGTTACGGCTACTTATTACTTATTACTGATAGTATTCCTCTTGAAAGCTAATTGTATGGCATTTCGGCTTTATGTGTACTTTATAAATATATCCTAAACACCATTTTAAAAGGACAATGATACAGGGCACATATTTCTCATCTGACAAATCAAATGACGGTTGTGCGTCTAGTGGCAACGTCAAGCCAGTGCATTCAGTCTGAGGCAAATAATTGCTTCGCTTCCAAAAGAGATATGTTGAGAAGTAAAAGATAATCCCTAATGTGATGTGACCATAGCTCTGAAAAGGGTCCATTTCACATGGATTCCCAGGTATTTTGATAGAGTAATCATCTAGTGAAAGTCTTTTTTTCAGTTTCAATGGGATTGTTTGTAAAGAACTATGTCTATGTGGGTGTATATCAAGCAGATTTGCATACGGGAAAATCTTGCGACGGCCGTACATGGTGTGTGCCCACCATGTCCCAACTATGGCAAGATGACGTGAGTATGTTCATCTGTTCTGTGTGTGTTCACTGCTACAGATCAGGATGCATGCAAGGGAACCTCTCACAGTTGTCACAAGGATGCGCTGTGCTTAAACACACACAGCACTTTTACTTGCACTTGTCTTCCAGGATTTATCGGCGATGGAAGGCACTGTCAAGGTCGATTATTTTATCGGTGTGTTCAAATTCTTAGCGCTCACAGCAACACCACAACCAAACCTAGTTGAACACGGCTTAACATGACCATGCAGAACACACAGGCTGCTCACAGCACATCCAATGCAAGTCAGTTGGGGTGTAAAAAAACACAGTAACGTTAGCTGGATTCATGGCCGCATCATGTGTTGAGGAACACATCAAGCAAATACTTCATCAGCCTTGCAAGCCGTTGAATGGTGTAATCCCAGCACAAGTTGCTATGTCTAACATAGCTGTTCGCTATCATTTCTTCCGCGATAGGCAGGTCTGTGGTCTGAGGTCTGAGGTGTGTGTGTGTGTGTGTTTGTGTGTGTGTGTGTGTGTGTGTGTGTGTGTGTGTGTGTGTGTGCGTGTGTGTGTGCGTGTGTGTGTGTGTGTGTGCGTGTGTGTGTGCGTGTGAGTGTGCGTGTGTGTGTGTGCATGTATGTGTGTTAGTGTATGTGCGTATGTATATGCCCACCGCCAAGGCGAGTGAGGTTGTTCATTCATTCTGCCTGCATTCAGTCCAAAACATGGCTTAACACCCCCCCCCCTCCCGCACCATGCCAAATCCCCCATCCCCGCCCCTACCCCTCCCCTACCCCTACCCACCTCCTGCCCACCACCTCCCCACCATGCCAACTTTTCCTCTCCCGAGTAGTGTTCATGCCACCACCACTAGACAGAATCAATACGTACATCAAGGAGGAATCTATGGCCTTCATCTCCAGATACCACTGTGCTTGATCACGAAGATAACCAGACATCAGCGACAACAACTGGAATGAGTTCTGGCTTATTCTGATGCTGCTCTCGTCTATCCCTACCTTCGCAACACAACTGGCTCGGACAATCGACTCGCCATGATGCTCCTCTCAATCATACTCCCTGAAATTCTACATTGTATCATAGTTCCTGCTGTTAAGCCTTGCCTTCTTTTCATTTTGCTGACCTTTGCAATTCTATCCGGCGTTGCGGCCAAAAACACGCACCAAAAAGAAAAGTTTTGTTTTTGGTGCGTGTGTTTGGCCGCGATGCCGAGACCTCAGGTCGGCAGAGCCATCAATGCACTACCACCACTGTTGCGTATCAGTGCAGCCCCTGGTCAATAGTTGTCACGTTTGTCCTGGGTCAAAACGGGTTTATTCACAAACAAAACAACATGAAAAGAAGGAAGAACACCAAAGATACAAGGGATGAAACTCGGCGATGAAATCAAAATGAAAATTTGAAATCGTCTTATTCGAAGAAACTCGAGGCAAATGTAACAAGGTTGTGTAAAGATTCAACTCAATCCGTTGACGAATGCTTTGAAAGATGTAAAGTTTGCATGAATGATTCACGCTGAGACTTTGGCACGCCGAGAACAACAAAAATAAATATGTCACGTTTGTCCTAGTCTCAGTACCATTGTAAGAAAATGTTTGTTCCTCACTGTACCGTTGTCGATTCTTTATTATTTTCAAGCTGGGAAAGTGAACATACTGAAGTAGTCAAAAATATGTTCTATCCATGCACTGCAAGATAGCGGACTATCTCTTCTACCATTCAGGACAAGTCTTGTAAAGTATTTCACACGGTTTCTTGAGTTAAACTCCTCAAGCTCCGACACGAAGTAGCGCTTCAGTCACCAATGTGCCAGACACAAATGCAGCATGATCAGCATGTATGTGTGTGTGTGTGTCCGCATGTGTGTGTGTATGTGTGTGACGGTGTGTGTGCGTTTGTGTGTGTGTGTGTGACGGTGTGTGTGTGTGTGTGTGTGTGTGTGTGTGTGTGTGTGTGTGTGTGTGTGTGTGTGTGTGTGTGTGACGTTGTGTGTGTGTGTGTGTCAATTTCACTTCAAGCCATTTAAAGAACACTGTCTTCAGACCAGCATGCACCTTCATGTGCATGCTGCAACTCCGCACTGTGCAGCCAGTGCGTACCGCACTCCCAGCACAGTCCGTGAACTCTGGACTGTGCAGCCAGTGCGTAACGCACTCCCAGCACAGTCCGTGAACTCTGGACTGTGCACTCGCGTTTTGAAAAGAACAGCATTTCTTGTTTACTTTCTTGCTCTCATCCAACAAGAAATGAGGCATTTTTTCGAATTTTCCCTCATTGTGACCGGCCCCTTACTAAGTTAGCAGCCAATAGTAACAGTTCCTATACATTTCGTGCAAGAAGGACATGCAAAGTCATGCAATTCACAGCCAGTACACTACAATACTACACGCGCAGCATGCGCACTCAGGGTTCTAGCCAGATCAAAATAGTAGGGGGGTGGGCATGGGAAGCAGTTACCCGATATCCCATTTTTCCACTTTCCAATATTGTCTAGCCACGCCAAATGCAATGTATGGGGAGAGTCCCTGACTTCACCCCAGACAAATGTGCCTTTATGAACCATCTATGCATGAAAAACACGAAAATCGGAAAATGAGTAGGGGCGGCAATTTTTCACAGGGGGGGGGGGGGCGCAAAAAAGAGTAGGGGGGGCGCTGCGCTCCCCCCCCCCCCCTCCCCTACCCCCCTTTGGCTAGAACCCTGGCACTTACCGCTCTACATGCAAAACAGTCAAAATTGTCATATGTAGCAGGAAGAAACAAGCAACAACGCATTCAAACTGTACATGGAATTGTGCGACTATGCAAACCAGCTAATATTATCATACTGTACCGTCGTACCCGACAAACGGGTACTCGCTTGCTAACGGGTCAGCAGCTAAACAAACGGGTACTCGGGTACCCGGATCACCCCTTTCACCCCTACTTCAAAATACCAGTGCATCTAGTGTCTGCTTCTTGCAAAGCAGCATGCTGTCTATACTGGTTACCCCAGCAAGTGTAGGGTGTGCATAGGTAACTGTATTGGCCGTTTTATGCCGATGTACACCGTGTGGTGCAGACCAGGTGAGCCATTGGTGGTCGATTCACATGGCTTCGCCAGTTGTGTGGATTAGACAGTTATCTGGCGCAAGTCTTGATCTGTTTCATTCAGATCTTGTTCCCTATCGTTGCTATAAGAGAAAATCTGTGGGTTCACATCCAGTGCATATGCAGATTTGTGTGCTTCTCTTTCGACGGGCGTATACATGGTACATGGTGTGTGTGTGTGTGTGTGTGTGTGTGTGTGTGTGTGTGTGTGTGTGTGTGTGTGTGTGTGTGTGTGTGTGTGTGTGTGTGTGTGTGTGTGTGTGGGTGCGTGCGTGCGTGCGTGCGTGCGTGAGTGTGTGTGTGTGTGTGTGTGTGTGTGTGTGTGTGTGTGTGTGTGTGTGATATTCCTATTCCTCGTTGCAGCTTGCACACCTCCACAGCTAGAGACAAGACCAGCAGGATATGAAGGAATTGCTCAGAACGGAACAACAATCTGCCAGAAAGGATGGTTTCCAGAAACCTCCAAGCCAGCAGCATGCTCAGAGAGTGGTATCTTGCAGCCGACTAAATGCATCTGTATGTGATTAACAGTTACAATTCTGATTGCTATCCTTTGACTTTCTTTAAATTTTAACGTAGAATCTGCGACAAGTTTGGCCATTAGAACATTTTGAAACGCTCCACCACTCCACACTGCCATCTTGGTCCACATTCACACCACAATTGTCCGGAAATTCATTAGGTAGATGTTGCATATCCTCCAGACAGTTCTTTCGCTCATTGAAAGCTCCTCAGTGGAGGTAGATAACTCACGATATAACCCGGCACACATTGGTTTGAGGGGAGTTATAGACGGGAAATGCTTGGAGAAAACACATGACGGTCACCAGCATGACTCGAACCAGGTACCCTTGTATGTAAGTTTGTGCGCTCATGTGTGCACGTATGTTTGTGTCCGCGTGCGCATGTGTTTGGGTGTGCGTGTGTCTGAGGGTGTGTTTGTGTATATGCATTCGGAGGCCTGCTACTGGGCGTTTGTGGCAATGTGTGGTGTGCCTGCTCTCCTATCTATTATTACCTGGTATTTATTTCTAATTTGCTCTGTTGTGCTCCTGCTAATTTTTTCTCACTTCGTATTTTTTCTGTTTGGCGCGCATGAGCAGTGCTGAAACCGAGACCCTTGGTCGGTTGAGCTGCTCTTGCCCAGCCTCCACTGCTTCGGCTGCCATCCCTATGTGTATCCATGTGCGTTTTTGCCGGTATTTGCACCATGATGATTTGTGGCTATTGTGTAAAAAAAAACCTTGCTCATGAGCCGGGATACTCTAATCAAGCTAGTAGCATGAAGACAACCGCTGCTGGTATTGGCACTATTCTCGTAGATCGTTTCGGCACATTCCACTTTACGATCTTGATGGCTGGCTTCGCAAAGAACGTTCGTTCTGTCAAGGCGTTTAAGCTATGGTGCAGTTGTCATCCAAGCATAGCATAATTATAATCAACATTTCATGGCTCAATTTTGTCAGAGCGTCCTGCTGATGCCCTTTCTTTCTCTGTTTGTATTTCCCTTATGCAGCTGCATCTCAGTACCACAAGAATGATCTTTATGTCATTGTGCCAACTATCCCCTTTTCCCGCGACCTGCTGAGGATGAGTCATTACAATGCCACCAAACACTGCATAGACATATATGGATATGACGCAAGACTGTTGGACTTTCAAAATGCTTTTGAAGTGGAGACTCTCTCCTTTGTGCTCGGGAAACTTGGTGCTGCCGCCGCCAAAGACCTATTCTTCTGGTCTCGACAATCCAATGAATTGGCTTTTAATGGATATACTTTTGATACTCATTACGCCTTCGAGGTGAATGGCAACCGGCTAGGACATAGTGAGGCCAGGGACAATTCGAGGGAGCTTCCATTTGCCTGCTTAGCCAGTAAGTAGTATGAACTCTCAAGTATGAGTACAGGGGCGTACCCGCCGCTCCGGCCGGTCCGGCTTTGGCCGGACCACTTTTTCGCCCGACCACGACCACCATAGTAAAACAATGCCAAAAGTGCCCAGAATGCAGGATTTTGCACCCTAATTTCAAAAA